CACCCCGAGATGAAGCCTTCTTCTTCATATTCGCTTTTAATATTTGTTTACCTCACTAGTCAGTTACGCCATTTCCCAGTGGTGCACCCCCTCCTAAGAGAAATCCTGGATCTGCCCTTGTGACTGGGGTTCTATAGGAAAAGAAAGGGGCTAATGACGCAAGTGGGGTTGTACTTAGTGCGGTAAGACACACACTCTCTCTTTTTCCCGCAGGTGCTTGGCAACCTGGTCTTAAGTGGATCCGCGGACGGTATGATTTTGTTCTGGAACCTGGAAACTGGAGAATGCGAGGTTGCTATTCAGGGTCACGAGGGCCCAGTCCACTCTCTTGATTACAACGATCATCAGCATTTCTTCTCGTCCGGAGGGTGAGAAAAAGTTTTAATCAGGGCACGAAGAAAAAATTTGAAATCCAGGTGCCCAGTTGACCAGTACATCTCAGTTTTCAGTTGCCACACTAAAATACTACTTGTCCAATAGGCGCGCAATGTTCATGCCTTATCAACTAATTTTCCTGTACGAGGGCCAATGTGGCGATCAGACGGTGAAGTGAGCAAAGTATGCTTGGATTTTAAATTAATCCCTGCTTTCAATTTATTGTTTGCTCACCTTGCAGTCTTAGGTTTTGAAATTATTGTTTTTGATTGGAAATTATCACTGACAAGATTACTGAGGTTAATTTCACTTGCCCATGGGACCAAGAAAATTCCATTCTCACTTGCGCAAGAGCAAAATTTACTTGGCCCGGACAATCGTATCTGGGTTTTTTCCTGCCCTGAATTCAGGCTTATCGAGCGTTGTTCCATTTTTTTTCCAAGGTAACAGTGATGCAGTAGTACTTTAACGTAAATACAGTTTATTTCTTTACATTCCAGGGACCATTTGTTGAAAGAATGGGACATAAGTACGTGCACGTGTCTAAGATCCTTACAGGGACATAGAGGGCCGGTGTTTTGTGTTAAGGTACGGTTATGTTCCTTTCGATCCCGATTACACGCGGCCTTCAGTGGCGGGAAAGTTGCGAGATCTCCTTTCGTGGTCGTAAGCTTGGCAACTAATCCATGATGTACTTTAGCCTCATTCATTGAAAACAAAACTCGCATCTATTTCTCATGCTTTTTGTGTATGGAGTGTAGTTTAAACAGGGAAGAAGTTTCGAGATACATTGTTTACAACCATTCGAAGAAGCATACACACTTTCATTTTCCACCGTTCGTGAAATGTACTCTCCGGACTGATTATAAACAAGTGTTAAAGAAATAGCTGTTTCTTATTATAATTCGAGCTCGTTTGTCTAGGTGAGGGAACTGTTGTTGGTAACAAACTGAGCAGAAGTCATTTTCAGAGTCTAGTGAAAAGTGATTATCAGTGGATATGTTCTGTCGTTTCTTACCCTCTCTTTAGAGTGTCTTTGTTGAATTGCCTTTGTGGTAGTTTTGATACCGCGTGGAAGCTTCATATAAACCTTTGCCGAATTATTGGTCTGTGCGATCAAAGAAAACTTGCACCTTTGAAGAAGCCATGTCACGAAGTTTTAAGTCATTTTGTGTTATTCAAAACACTTTCAATTGACGAAAGCCCTAAAATAGTAGTTCTCGAAGGTGGGAAAACACTAATGTAAACCGATTATGGGATCGTTACGACTGAGGAAGATTAAGGCGGATTATGAAACTTCGAAAAAATTGGCCGACGTTTTCAAGATCCGATGCCCATGATAAAATTAATTTTAATTAGTTTCATGCGTTCAAGACTGGCAATGTGCGCAGAACGCTATGTTCCTGTGCCCTTTTGCACGAATTGCGGGCCAATAGTAAAACCAGGGGCATATGGGTTCTACTGAAGATGTGCTCAACTGTGAAGTGTTTTAAAATGATCGTGAAAGTTACTTAGTAAATCCCCTGAGATTTCATCGTTGCTGTGTTATTCCGTTAGTAACTTGCTGTCCATGTTTGTTCCCAGGCCGTCCCACACAGGGTCGTGTCCTGCTCTGCCGATGGATTCACGAGGGTCTGGGACCTGGATTTTCCAGATGGAAAGGTTGGTCATGTCACATACCTCGTACATCTTGAACAGTTTTCAGATCTTTCCATCCAGTCGGCTAATGTTGTTTTTCTGCTCTTGCAGTACCAAGGTAAGAATATTGCCGTTCAAGACAACGTCATCACGCCGCACACAATTCAACAGAGTAATCCCAAAAAAGTTATTTGATGGAAGGAGAGAGAGAAAGCAGTTTTGTAGCGCTTCGATTATAGAATAAATAGTTGTTCTGGTTCGCGTTTTAATTTGTTTGCTTTCTTCTTGAGTTTTTCTTCGACGTACAGGTGCGATATAGTAAAAAGCCGCGTGTAAGAACCGACAATTTTTAGTCTGGCAACATAGGTTCTTGTATCTTGGGGTAGTTATTGACAATTTAGGCAAAGCAGGTTGTTAATTAGGTTCTTAATTTCGATGAAGTAGATATGGTTGTTGATTACCAGAAAAATTTTTAAACCTGGGTTTGGTCCTTGAATTTTGTTTCCTAACTGTAATATGTATTTTCTTGTAATGTAGAGTTGTAATCTGAAAGTCACTCCTTGGTTAAAATGTTTATCATAAATTTACTGTAACCCACACATAAGAACCTGCTTGATCTTGCTTGGCTAAACAGGTTCTTATACTTTTGGGTATTAATATGGCAAATTTCTGCCTGCAGGTTCTTAATTAAACCACTAGGTTCTTACATGCGAGTTTTTATTCCATGCTTATCAGTTTTATGTGGAGGATACCTGGCCTTGGATCAATAATTAAGACTAGAGATGTATTCATCATAAAGTGTTTTTCCTTGGCCTATGTAGACCTCATGTTGAAAAACTCTTTTCATGCATTCTTACGTCATAATTCACTCGTTAGCTTTCAAGAAGACGATCGAAGCGTGGGCTTTGTTTTTGAGTTGCTATGCAACCAGACAGCAAACAGTAAACAAACAAACAAATAAAGATACGTCACCCCTTATTTCTGTCATCCACGCTTTTGTTTTGTTCATGAAAGGAGTAGTGATGTATGAAGGATATTGTAAACTTCTCTTTACGGAAAAAACAACTTGGATAGAAACCAATGTCGCGTGAACTGTTTTTAGGTCATTGAAGATCAGATCTCGCGATAAACACATGCTGAAATAAAAACATTGTTATTAATTACGGGAAATACAAGCCGTCTAGATCTTGCAACTTGATTGCTTCAAGACCTGCCAGCGTCTCAAACATGTGTTAAAAGTGGTTGGACTAAAAATGCAACCAGGAGATAAAGAAAATACCTCGTAGGGAAGCCTACAGGAATCCTCGCTTTGTTTTTCTTAAGAGCAGACGAAAGAATCATCAAAATTCTAAAGATTTTATAACTTGAAAGTACGTCATCCTGTGAACGAGTCACAGTTATTGTTACTTTCAGAGAAAAAAATATTGTTTTAATGTATGAAAAACATATGCAAGTTATGAATAAGGTATTGGTATATTGGGCACTTGGAGTATTCGATTGAATAAAAAAAACAAAAGAAACATATTTATAGTAACATTGCTTCATGTATTTTCCAGAGTTTAAAAACTTTAATAAAAACGACGTTTAATCTACTTTGAATCGTGGATGTGATCTTTATGTATTATTGTTATTTGACTTTGTAATTTCTTCAGTCGAGAAAGAAAATATCGCGTGTATACCCTGTTACCGTGATTGATATTTTCTTATCTCTAATTATCACCCTCACCCGCCTTCAGGCAGGCAGGTAAATTGAGTGACTCAGATAACGTGATGTGATCTATTTTTGCCATGGCTTCTGGAAAATTTACGCCCGCGGCGATGTCACCCTTCGTGTGAATT